CGCCGCCTACGGCTTGTTGAAACACACGTATGACGAAGTGACCAGAAGTTCTAAGATCGACAATAATCTAACGTACTTTTACAAACCTTCAACACAAGTACAGAAATAAAAGATTCGCAAAAGTAAGGACATATCTAATCAAAGAAAGTATGGACGCAAGTCCAATATGATCAAAGAAAGTATGGACTCAAGTCCAATATGATCAAGGAAAGTATGGAGTGAAGTCCAGTCTGATCAAGGAAAGTAGGCGACTCTTGAAGGTCAACTTAATCAAGAAAAGACTTCGAATCAAATTTCATCTAATCGAGGACTCAAGCTGAATTTAACTGAGGAAAGATTTTAACTCAAAATCAATCCAATCAAGGAAAGCCTGCAACTCAAGTTCAATGTAACCAAAGAAAGGCTACGATTGAAATTTAATTTAATCGAATAAAGACTACAACTCTTCAAGCCCAACTTAATCGAGGAAAGGCTCTGATTCAATTGAGTTGTATTTAACCGAGAAAAGATTATAACTCAAGTTCAATTTAATCAAGGAAAGATTGATTCACGTTTAACGCCTCCTCCGTCCCAAATCAAACTATAGTTTATATGTGTTAACAAACCTTTTGTTTTCCTTCATATGAAATTAACAAATCAAGCAAATATAATTCGATTTATTGATTTCTCTTTCACCACGTGACCTAAACGAAAGTTAATTATAAGTTTGTGAAGGAATAGAAGTACGGTGAGATCGAAACCACTTTTTTGCAGTCACGAGAGATATAAACCTTTTTTTTTCTCAGAAAAATTAACAGAGCCGTTCGTTCTCCTTTGATTGCTGTTTATGTTATTTTGAGTTGTGGTTATAACAGCATCTTCGCAATTAAAACGAAACTAAAAGCGTATTTACTGGCAAGTTTTCTCAGTAAATATTTGAGTCGAAAACTTGAGTCTGAGTCTTTCCTCAATTCAAGTTGAGTCGCAGTCTTTCTCTGTAGAGCGAACTCACATTGGAGCCGTTCCTTGATCAGATTGAACTTACACGAGTCTTTTCTTGAATATTTTTCCACTAGAGGGTGCTGACAACTGAAGTTTGGAGAAGTATCTTCAACTTGTTTCCACACTGCACTTTAAACCCTTGTTGAGTGTCAGATATAACTCGTTATATAACAACGTGACGTAACATTATTTTGTTGAGTATCAGATATAACTCGTTATATAACAACGTGACGTAACAGTATTTTGATTGTCAGATATACTTCGTTATATAACAACGTGACGTAACAGTATTTTGTGGAGTGTCAGATATACTTCGTTATATAACAACGTGACGTAACAGTATTTTTTTGAGTGTCAGATATAATGCGTTATATAACAACGTGACGTAACATTATTTTGTGGAGTGTCAGATATACTTCGTTATGTAACAACGTGACGTAACAGTATTTTGTTGAGTGTCAGATATACTCGTTATATAACAACGTGACGTAACAGTATTTTGATTGTCAGATATACTTCGTTATATAACTACGTGACGTAACAATATTTTGTTCAGTGTCAGATATACCTCGTTATATAACAACGTGACGTAACATTATTTGTTGAGTGTCAGATATACTTCGTTATATAACAACGTGACGTAACAGTATTTTGTGGCGTGTCAGATATAACTCGTTATATAACAGCTTCACGAGAGAGTATTTGACAACATAAAACGCCGCGTATTTGTGATTAAAGCTTAAGTTTTTATTATACTGTTGCTAGCTGTTTTACTACGTATTACTCTACAGATGTTTGTGTGTAGTGACAAGTGACTCAGCCACACCAGGAAACTAAAACTGAGATCAAAGAGATAAAACGTTTCAGTGTGATGTAACAAAGCAGTTAGTAATCTAAACTTAACTTACACAACCACCATTTAATGGTAAAACTTGCTAACGATACTTAGTTGTCCTGGTTTTCGATAACAAAAACATCTAAGCTTACAAGTGATCGCTCTTACATTAGCGGTATATACATATATGTACTAACGTCAGTCTTACAGTATTCTATATATTTTGCAGCTTTACACACCAGCTGGCGCTCACTGGGACTTTACTTAAAATGAACACTTAGAGTACGAGAGTTATATCGTGATAATGATAGCGAACATAAATTACTTGAATGTATAATCCAGGTGTGGCCTAATGGGTAGCGAATCGGGCTGCTGTTGAAAAGCCCCAAGGTTAGAGCCGCGATATGCTGTTGAATACGATACACTTTTTCAGCTGCGGGCCCGGCATGGCCAGATGGTTAGGGCGCTCGACTCGCAATCTGCGGGTCGCGGGTTCGAATCCCCGTTACACCAAACATGTTCGCCCTTTCAGCCGTGGGGGCGTTATAATGTGACGGTCAATCCCACTATTAGTTGGTACCAGAGTAGCCCAAGAGTTGGCGGTGGGTGGTGATGACTAGCTGCCTTCCCTCTAGTCTTACACTGCTAAATTAGGGACGGCTAGCGCAGATAGCGCTCGTGTAGCTTTGCGCGAAATTCAAAAGAAACAAACAAAACAAAAAATTTTCAGCTGCGTGGGCGTTATAATCGCAACAGAAAGTTCGTTTGAGAGTATATAACTGTAAGTGATGGGTGCTGCTAAGTGATTGGCCTCCCTCTGGGTAACAGTTCTAAATTAAAGTCCTTTGGGTCTCTAGTCTTGCCCTGTAGTCCATGTGTCACATAAGGTATCATTCAAGTTGGAAATAGCAAATGCTGAAATAAATTTGAATTGCTTTTTCTTTGTTAGGAAAACAATTTCATTTGTTTAAATCTAATTTAGATAAAATGTAACACAAAGTGCATGTTGAGGGAAGCTTAGTTAGTTTAGTTTATGGATTTAGAACTAACCCAAATCTCATAAGCTTACCGAGCCGTATAAGACATTATTGGGTTTATGGCTGTAAATATTGTTAATAGCAAGAGTAATCACCTGATGAAACAACGGATTTTAATCTTTCTAGAAAGAACGTAGAAGAAGTAGACTTAATTAGCTATACTCGTTACCACGTTGATTTTTAGTATTGGTTTAACTTTTAGCTTGCTCTGATCGGAAGTTAACATTAAATACAATTACAATTAATAAGAAGTTAATTATATATATCATTAAAATAAATATAATTGTTCTTCCGAAAAACCTGTTTTCACAAATAAGTCTTACATCGCCCTCTGGTGAAAAACTTTATGTTGCTACGCTTTCGGAAAATTCAAACCAAAGTTTTACATGTCACTCCAAGACATCCCAACTATACAAAACTTTCAACCATCAACAAGAAATTATTACAACCAGGAGTTAGAAAAGACATAAAACAATAATTACTTATAAAACGTTTTTTTTTTTTAAGTTTGGATTTATTAAATGAGTTATTATGTGACTACCATATCTTGAAAGCCGAATTCCTTTCAAGCCGGCCTGGTGGTTAAGACACTCGACTCGCAATCTACGGATCGCGGGTTCGAATCCCCATCACCGAACATGCTCGACCTTTTAGCCGTGGGGGCGTTATAGTGTGACTGGGGGCCATTTCCACCATTCGTCAGTAAAGAGTAACCCAAGAGTTGGCGGTAGGTGGTATTGAGTAGCTACCTTTCCTCTTGTCTATCACTTCAAAATTAGGGACGGCCAGTGCAAATGGTCTTTTAGTAGCTTTGCGCGAAATTCAACACACAAACCTTTCAATGTGTTTGTAGTGTAAGCACAAAGCTACACAATGGGCTATCTATGCTCTGCCCACCACGGGTATCGAAACCCGGTTTTTAGCGTTGTAAGTCCGCAGACATACCGCTGTGCCACTGGTAAGAACATATACATTTCAAATCTTCTGGCCCGGCATGGCCAGATGGTTAGGGCACTCGACTCGCAATCTGAGGATCGCGGGTTTGAATCCCCGTCACACCAAACATGGTCGCCCTTTCA